TGGTGCAAAATGGAGGCTCTAGACCTTCAGAGCTGAGATATCGGAACTCAAAAATTTCGACCGAAAAAAAACGACAGTGTTTACCCCTTACGGCTTTTTTTTTTTGGCGAAAAATTAGTATCCCCAATCTTCTCGAAACTCTGGATTCTGATAGAGGGCACTGAGACTTACACCTGAGTGCAAAAATGGAGGCTCTAGACCCTTCCAGAGCTGAGATATCGAAACTCAAATTTTCGACCCGAAAAAAAAACGACAGTGTTACCCCTTACGTTTTTTTTTTTGGGGAAAAATTAAGTATCCCAATCTTCTCGAAACTCTGGATTCTGATAGAGGGCACTGAGACTCACCTGAGTGCAAAAATGGAGGCTCTAGACCTTCCAGAGCTGAGATATCGAAACTCAAAATTTCGACCCGAAAAAAAAACGACAGTGTTACCCTTTACGTTTTTTTTTTTTTGGGCGAAAAATTAAGTATCCCAATCTTCTCGAAACTCTGGATTCTGATAGAGGGCACTGAGACTTACACCTGAGTGCAAAAATGGAGGCTCTAGAACCTTCCAGAGCTGAGATATCGAAACTCAAAATTTCGACCCGAAAAAAAAACGACAGTGTTACCCCTTACGTTTTTTTTTGGGCGAAAAAATTAAGTATCCCAATCTTCTCGAAACTCTGGATTCTGATAGAGGGCACTGAGACTTACACCTGAGTGCAAAAATGGAGGCTCTAGACCCTTCCAGAGCTGAGATATCGAAACTCAAATTTCGACCCGAAAAAAAAACGACAGTGTTACCCCTTACGTTTTTTTTTTTGGCGAAAAATTAAGTATCCCCAATCTTCTCGAAACTCTGGATTCTGATAGAGGGCACTGAGACTTACACCTGAGTGCAAAAATGGAGGCTCTAGACCCTTCCAGAGCTGAGATATCGAAACTCAAAATTTCGACCCGAAAAAAAAACGACAGTGTTACCCCTTACGTTTTTTTTTTTTGGGCGAAAAATTAAGTATCCCAATCTTCTCGAAACTCTGGATTCTGATAGAGGGCACTGAGACTTACACCTGAGTGCGAAAATGGAGGCTCTAGACCCTTCCAGAGCTGAGATATCGAAACTCAAAATTTCGACCCGAAAAAAAAACGACAGTGTTACCCCTTACGTTTTTTTTTTTGGGCGAAAAATTAAGTATCCCAAATCTTCTCGAAACTCTGGATTCTGATAGAGGGCACTGAGACTTACACCTGAGTGCAAAAATGGAGGCTCTAGACCCTTCCAGAGCTGAGATATCGAAACTCAAAATTTCGACCCGAAAAAAAAACGACAGTGTTACCCTTACGTTTTTTTTTTTGGGCGAAAATTAAGTATCCCCAATCTTCTCGAAACTCTGGATTCTGATAGAGGGCACTGAGACTTACACCTGAGTGCAAAAATGGAGGCTCTAGACCCTTCCAGAGCTGAGATATCGAAACTCAAAATTTCGAACGAAAAAAAAACGACAGTGTTACCCTTACGTTTTTTTTTTTTTTGGGCGAAAAAATGTTATCCCAATCGTCTCGAAACTCTGGATTCTGATAGAGGGCACTGAGACTTACACCTGAGTGCAAAAATGGAGGCTCTAGACCCTTCCAGAGCTGAGATATCGAAACTCAAAATTTCGACCCGAAAAAAAAACGACAGTGTTACCCCTTACGTTTTTTTTTTTGGGCGAAAATTAAGTATCCCAATCTTCTCGAAACTCTGGATTCTGATAGAGGGCACTGAGACTTACACCTGAGTGCAAAAATGGAGGCTCTAGACCCTTCCAGAGCTGAGATATCGAAACTCAAAATTTCGACCCGAAAAAAAAACGACAGTGTTACCCCTTACGTTTTTTTTTTGGGCGAAAAATTAAGTATCCCCAATCTTCTCGAAACTCTGGATTCTGATAGAGGGCACTGAGACTTACACCTGAGTGCAAAAATGGAGGCTCTAGACCCTTCCAGAGCTGAGATATCGAAACTCAAAATTTCGACCCGAAAAAAAACGACAGTGTTACCCCTTACGTTTTTTTTTTTGGGCGAAAAATTAAGTATCCCCAATCTTCTCGAAACTCTGGATTCTGATAGAGGGCACTGAGACTTACACCTGAGTGCAAAAATGGAGGCTCTAGAC